ATTGTGTTTTTTTACCACCGAACTTTTTGAAGTTCTAAATTCTTATATATGTATAGAAAAAAGAGGATATCAAGTACACTGCCACAATAAACAAACATCTTTTTAGCATTAAAGTTTTCAATCTACATGGAGTTGAGATCTTAGTAAAGGTTATATTTTCTTTCACTCGGATTATTATGCCTTTGTTTACATTTGGAGCTATGCCATTATTGCCATAGACATTATAAAGAGTCTATTTATATGCTTGAATTTGGGAACAAAATGAAAAAGTTTATAAGATTTCTACTTGAAGGGGGTTTTCATATAATAAATAAATAAACATTAATGAACAAAACAAATGACCCAAAGGCATGGTCTAAATATGCCATGTTGGAGCCAAAAATAATCCAAGGAAACAACGTCAAAGTAAATTGTCTAGCAGCCAGCTTTGAACATCTGGATTATTGAAAGTTAATATGACATTCTCAAGTCGTATGAACCAGTCTGTTGACACACGAAACAGGCGCATCACTTCCACTTCTTGAATTTTCCTCCATGCTTTCCATGCTTAAATTTTCCGTGCTTGAATTTTCCCCCATGCTTAAACTTCCCATGGTGTGCAAAGGCACCACCCATGTGGTGACCATGCCCCATGCGGTGTGCCCCATAAGCAGCTGCAGCAGCGGCAGCACCCCCAGCGATCATCGCACCAATGCCACTACCATGCGTTCCGTGCCCTGCAAAAAATGTTCTAAAGACTCAGCAACTTCATAGCACCAAAAATCACCCCCTTCACACAAACAATCAATAACAGTAAAGCAACACAAGTCCGGTTCATCCCATGATCGAGGTGAATTAATTAACACTCAAATGAGGAAATTATCTAACTGCAGTCATGACTTGCAAGTAAATTTTCACAGTTGACATTAATATTCAACAATGAACAACATGCATAAGCTTGTTGTGCGAAAAGATGATGGGTGAAAAACTTGTTTAATACCTAAATTATAAGAAACTTGTACAGTTATGCCATGCCATACACGAAAAATTTTGGTAGACCAATAAAAATGCATAAGACCGAAACAATATTGACAAAATTACCTGAATGAGAGGCGCCAGGGTAACCAGCAGGAGGGTATGCACCAGGAGGGTAACCTGCTGGAGGGTAGCCTTGTGGTGGTGTATGTCCATATCCATGAGGTGGATAACCTTGAGGAGGAGGGGCATATCCTCCAGGAGGGGGAGGGTATGCGCCAGGAGGATATGCTCCATGTCCATGACCATGACCATGACCATGGTGTGAAAAAAGACCTTTCTCATCATGATTATGTTTGTCCTTTCCCATATCTTCTCAACCAAGATATAATCTGCATAAAAAATACCCAAAATGAACATTAGTAAACAAATTATAAATTAAACAGCAATAGGCTCATGTTTAGCCAACAATACATCTCCTAGAATGCCATGAATGTACATAGTTTGTCTATACAAGCAGATGCAGGTAGCTATTAGTCTAAATCTTTCATCTTTGGGGGTTCAAAAAAAAAAAATATATATATATATATATATTA